CTCTGTCGTGGACCTGCCCCCACCCCTGTCCTGCCCCCCATCTCCGAGTGCCGTGTACACGGTGACAGTGAAGTGGTAAATCGAGCCTTCTGCACCAAGCACCGAGCACCGTAACGACGCCTGCCTTGCTGGGCCCATATCACTGCATGATTAAGTTCTTACCAGACTTTTTGGTAAGGGCAACCTTACTGATCTGATAACTGCCAAGGACAAGCCAAATACGCAGAGTCAATCTATGCACGTTTAATCCCTAGAAGGCAGATTAAGTGTATAATTGACCCAGATAATCCATATATCATCTCCATGCCCATGTCCGGTTTAGGCAGACAGGAGGCCCATAAGAAGGCTATCAGGGACACAATATTATCATGGCAGTGGATTTCATCAAAGTCAGAGATGGCTTTTTAATCACTGCTCTGAGATGCTGCTAGATTTAAGCAGATGAACTAGCACTAAGCACATCTGTTTTAATCCTTATCTTCTACTCAGGCTGGTGTCTTCAAGAAGTACAAGGAAGAAAAAAAATAAATTAATTTCTGTTCAGGTCTCACAATCTTAGGAGCTTCTCTAGACGTTTTGATCTCTCATATCAAAAGCAGGTTTTTGTTTTCTTTCGGTAAGATATTGAATTAATCATCAGAGAGAAAAATGCCATCTGTGCTCTTTAGGGATACCGGAGGTCTGCACGAGCATCCTGAAAGTCACAGTTGCTTTCTCTACCTGCAGTAGCCTTTCATATCCCAGCTGCTTTCCAGTGACTGCATGCGTTTTACCTCAACGTTTTGCTGCTTGGACAAAATTTAGGCCAGTATAGAGCGTATCCTCTCAGCCCACCACATAGTTTTCTGGTCACATTGGATTTTACTGGCCGAAACCACACATATGGCAGGTATGGCTAATGCTGTACAAAATTGTCATTGTGAGGCCTAGTCCCTGCTGGCCAAATGCCCCAGAGGGAATTGGGGTCCTGAAAACCACAGAGCGCCCTGAGTGAAGAGGGCTCAAAGCTTGGCAGGAGCTGCCCGGAGGACTGCAAGATCAATCCCACGGTAGTTTTTCCCCTATTCCCAGCTGGCCTGATAGCAAGCAACCTACACTACTGGTGTTAAATGATCAAACGTGTCAAAAGATCATCCTTGTGAGAGAAAGCTGCAAGCAGCTGCTTTTCATCCACCATGGAAACAAGCTTGTAATCCCTCTTTTTCCAATGCATCACCATTTTTCAAACCACGTGAACACGCGCAGATAGGCACATCCACCCGGAGCACAAAAGCACGCCACAGAGGTCTTCTTACATCCTCCTCTTCCTAGCTGTCTGTCCCAATGGGCCTGATTACAGCATCTTAGCTGGACAATCATGTCATTAATTTAGCGCAACAGGCCAAATCAGTAAGACATGTCAGACTGAAGCACCACGAAAAAGCTAGTTAGCTTCTGATTACTGGAAGAACTTCACAGTCAATCTGTTCTTCCGGTGACCCAGAGAGAACAGATTAAAAAAATTAAGATGATGACTTGATTTCAGGGAAATACCTGACTAATTTACAGAATAAAGGAGATTAAAACATAGACCACAGAACGACACGAAGATAATCTGCAAGGAGTGGTATCTGCCACGGAATACAGTTCCCTAGGCAGGAGCTGGCCGGACAAACACTCAGCAAGGCGACAGGGTGAACGAAGGAGGTAGCAAATCCTAAAGGACCACCTCAAATATTTTCAGGTCCGTGGTACAACTAGTGGCACCTGGCATTTTCTAAAGTTGAGAAATAAATGGGAAGAGCCAAAGGAGCGTGCTGGAAGGCTGGACTGGAGACCACAGGAAGCTACAAATGACACAGAGCAGCTAACAGGCCAACTTAATGGGCCTGATCTAGCTCCCATCAAGTCAATCCGAGTTGCAATAACTCGCAGGGGAACAGGGTCTAGCTTTCCTTTCCTAGTGCCACTCGCGCAGCTCTCACAAGCTTCGGGGGCTTGCGTGTCTGCCATGGGGAAGGCAACTATTCATGGCAGAGGGATTCCAGTGACAGACTGAAAAGGGAGGGTCAGACAGTCCACGGAGGTAAGTCGGGATTGCTGCATTTCAGCCGACGGAGCAACGTCAGCCTGCCCCAGAGAAAATGTCACGGGTCGGACTCGAACTCCCTTGGCCCGGTGAATCCCGACAGGCACGCCTGACACACAAAGAACAGCAATATCAGCCCTCGCTAAATATTTATAAATGTAATTCTGCACGACTTGGGTTCCTGCTTTCTTAAAGCTGTAGCTCCTGGAGCCGCAAACCCTGCTCGTGACCCACTGGCTCAGGCCTACAGAAATCTGCCCCGGGATCAATGCAGAAGGTAAAGGCTGCCATGCTTAGCTGCGTGATGCAGACGGATGAATACGCCAAGCCTGACGCGCAGCCACGCTCTGCACCAACTGCAGGGAGAAAGGCAGCCTGAGTTTGCCTCTGGCTGCACATCTGTGCCCCAGATCACAACCTACACCCAAACATCTGTAAGAAAATACATAATACCACCGGGCTGATCCTGCTGTTATGGAAATCCGTGGGTGCTCACCACGGACTGATAGAGGAGCAAGCCTGGGTGCTATATTTAGGAAAACAGGCTCAAACAGTCCAAAATATTTATCAGTGGATGCAGCGCTGCCAGCCAGGGAACACCCCCTTCTGCAGAGACTCCTGGGAATGACTATTCAGGGGCCTGAGTCTTAAACCCTTCCCCTCTGGGCACGGTGCATGCTTGTGCCCACCAGCTGCCACCGTGCTTGGCATTATGGGTGGCCAATTTAGTAGCTCTTCTGCTGCTAAATCACTTGGTGCAGCCAGCACCTTATCTCTGCAGCGCCAGCTGAACTTGGGGATCACTGGCTTCCTCCACAAACCACTTTCATCTCAGGAAGAAGTCAGCTGCCCGCCGCAGGCACCTGGGAGTTGGCCCGTTTGGACTCAACTCCGTGTAAACCAAAAGCCCAATCCTGCTCTGCTTCCTCAGGAGACTCATCTGACTGAGATGCATGTGAAGAGGGCCATCAGGATGCAGTCCCCAAATCGGATGGCCACAGTACCAGAACACAGAACAAACTGCTTTTCCCTAATGCCGCTGCTGACTGCACGCAGCGACGTTCACACCCCGATGTGAAAATGCTAAGGTTTGTCATTACTGAGAAAGATCAACCACACTTATCGGCCTGCTGGACTAGCAAACGCCAATTCTTGAAAAGCAAGGGGGCAGGACAAAGGCCATCCCATGCTTTCGCCTTTCACCCAGGTGCTCCTGCCTTTTTTGTTTGGTTTTTTGGTTTTTATCGTTAGCGTAACACAAATACAATATGACAAACCTGAATGCGACTGGGTCAAACTGAACCCCCCCCCCCCCCCCCCCGCCCCCCCCCACGTTGCAATGACACACGTCCTGAAGTTGGAGAGAATGACGCAGAAGGCTGAAAGCACACCGACGGCAGTACACACACCGACTGCACTCAAGACACACCAGCTGCGGATCTTGGGAAACTGGTTGAAGAAAAGGCAACTTAGGCATTGAAAAGAACAGTCCAGACGATCTCCGAAAATGTGACTGCCCCTGGAATAAAATTCAGCGCCGAGGGGCAGGGCACTCGCAGACCTGCTGCAGGGAGGGAACCGGCTGCTGCGTTTTTTTCAATGCCCATCGGATGGGTGATTTATATCTGGCATTCTGTGCTTAAAACTCTCTGAAGAGTGAGCGTGCATAGAGCATTAAGAAGTCACTAGTGTGCTTTATGCATGAATGAGGCATTCTCAGTGGATATGGGTCATGCTAGTAGATGTACACAGGAAGATTATTTGACTCTAATTCATGCCACTTGATATAATGTGATAAAACATTTGACATGAGAGATAAGTTCCATTTTAATCTGATAGGATATCAGTGAAAGAAAGAGTGGGAATTATAAAGTAAGAAGAGGTTTCTAAGGGAAAGGGAATGCGAGGAAAGAAAGAAGGATATTGAATAAAGGAGGAGTTGGGTGGGGGGGAGGCTTCCTTATACGCTGTGGAAGCAAATGAGCAAGTAAACAAAGCATATAAGGTTATTGTAATTCTAGAGCTAGAAGACTGAAAAATGATGTTGCAGAGAGGTGAAAGAAAAGAAAGTCTGAATGTAAACTGCTTCACACAGAAATCAATATATAAAGAAACATCCTATAAGAGACTGAAGCACTCGTGTGAAGTGCTTGCCTTCAACATAAAACCTTCACTATACAATAGCTACAAGGACAGAAAGTGTGTCACACGACAGAAGCAACAGAAACAGATAAATCCTTGGGCATGCATTCAGATTTAAAACAAATACAGACCACCGGGCATCCCGGTCAGTGTTTCTGGGGAAGTTGGGTGAACGAAAGGGGTGCAGCAGAAAAATAACTCTGACAGTCCAGATCTGCCCGAGTTGCACTACCACTCCTTTTCCCCCTCTGGACCTGGGGTTTGACACCCTGGTAGGGTCCTTTCTGAAGTATAAAACTGCAGATTTTTTTTTTTTTTTCCAGCTGGGTTTTGGGTTTTTTTTTTCACAATATAAAGAAGTAGCCCGGCAAAGTCACATGCAGGCTCAGAGGGCTGGGCAGGCAGAAACCATTAAGTAGCATGGGAGGAAGGTAGCCCCACACCTCTGCCCAAAAACTGGCTGGGGTTTTTAACGAGGAAAACAATGACCGAGATGCTCCTGTTACAGAAAGGTTTCTCACAAGCTGGACATATTAAAGTGGTGGCTGAGAAGATGCCGTTACCCTGAAAACCACACACATAAAGACCAGGACACGGTAGACCAAAGTATAGAATTAGAGTAGGCAGACAGCAGATAAGAGCCTGAGTCAGAGGGAAAGGAAAGATTTTTTGAAAAAAAAATCTATAACCAATCCATTGTCTCAAAATGTGACTTATCCTCCTGTCTTATTTTGTCACATTTTGGGGGGTCTCCTGCTTGGTTTCCAAGGAGGAGAAGGCATTTACTTACATCAAATAACCTTTCTATATACATCTCCTCATTGACCTTATCACGCAGCACATCCTGAGAGTGGCGAACAAATGTCACATAGGCATCGGCAACATCCATCCCCGGCTTCTGTATGGGAAAAAAGAAGAGAGAGAAAGAAAAGCATGAACATCTCCACGTGGGGGAATGCCCTCACTCCTGCTGCTGCGGCTCCTTTTCCCCCGGGCTGGCTACGGCACGGAGGCTGTTGCCGTTCACCCGTCTCCCTTTGAGACCTAGGGTATCGGGACCTGGCAGCACAGCTCGCCGCTTTGTACGCTGCCACGCTGCCTGTGCCGCACACGATCCTGTAAATACACTGGCTCTTTCTCTTTTTGTGCCTAGAGGGAAGCCACTCGGATGAATAAAGCCTTTCCTTGACACACTGATGCCGGGAAGTTTTCTCGCTATGTTTGGTATTGTTGACCTAATTAGTGAAACAACAAATCACGCTGTGGTTTTCCAGTGTCATCTCCTATATGCAAACCCTCTATTATGTGAAGTTCGAAAGCTAACACCCAGCCCTGGTCTCCTGTTTCTTCTCCTAAGATGTGAGGATGCGTGCAATCATTCACATTTTATCATCCGCACCCAAAAAAAAAGCACATTCCTTTTGTTGTTGGGAATTTAGATTTTAGCTCGCCGATAGCCTTCCGGTGTAAAATAAATGGGTGCAATCAGAAACCAGATTTCCCCAAACCGCCCATGTGAATGTCTGTATCAGTGCTAACTTTCTCGGATGCCTTTATCTATAGTTGTGCTGGTTTATATCTCTATATATACTCACTGCTTTTTAAACCTGAGCGTTACATTTGCGGAAGATGGTGATCGTGTTGCTATTTTCTCAGCTTACTGTAGTAGACAGAGGAAAATACACTATACAACCCCTTGAGTTCACACTGCTTGATATGCTGAAATCAAAGTTATCTCAAAGGAAACCCATTAAAATACTACAACATGAGTCATTACAAGAGCTGCCACAAAATCTAAAATTTCCATGGCACATTGTAAGTTTGTTAATAACTAGTGTCATTAGTTTTCATTACTGTGATTTACCTCAGATCACAAAGTATCGTTTCTCTACAAGACGTGATTGTCAGCCGCTGCAAATTGAAGTTAGTTAACACTTCTGTGTAATTTCCAGGGTGAAAATGAGGACAGTTTGGAAAGCAGTAGGAAGGGAGCTTTTTTTAATACAAAGCAAACAATTATCAAGCAAAAGGCCGGTGCTTGGCCCTTGGGATGCTAGTAACATTTCTTAACACCTACTGAAACAATGACAAGGTATTAATTTGAAAAACAATGAGGACAACACAAACGTGGCAATAGTCAAGCGTTAGACTTTCAGGCAATTTTCAGGAAACCGATTGTGCCCGTTTCAAGGTGGCACTAAAAGAGTTGCAATTTTCTGATGCAAAACAATCCTGTCTCTGGAACGGGGACTTATGCAGTGGTCGCCCGTTCAAGAGCAGGACATCGCCCCTTTCCTCTAGAGAGGGAGCCCATAGGCAAACGTGCTTTTCTTGACGCTTCGCTGGTTCACCGCCGAGGACGCGCTGAGCCCGGCCCCAGCGAAGTGCGGGGGATCGTACGGGGTGAGAAGAAGCTCCCACCCAAACAGGCGTAAATGAGCACTGCTTCCACCGAAGTGAATAGGGTTTCACCAGGGATCAGGCCCATAGGCTCGAAGTAATTTACTCCGGGCTTCAGGAAATTAGAGGCAATTAGAGGCCTCCGCTATAGAGTGAGGAGTCTAGACGCCAAGAAAACCGGGTCCTAAATTGGACCTCCCCAAGTCCTGGCTCTGAAAGCCTTGGGAGACCTCTGGCGTCACGTGTCTATCCCATCAGCTCCAGTGGGGTCTGCAGTGGTCTGACGGGCAAAATTTGAACTGGGATATTTCAGTCTGCTCATTTTTTTATTTAGATGTCCTCAGAATCTGCCTGCATACCTACCCTGGTTTATCGGTTGTAATCCCTTACTCCAGCCAACATTCATATACTGCACTTAAACTCAATTTAAATGTAAATTTGTGGCATCCTAAGTGCTTTGTCTAAGGACCTGAAGGGCCCTCATCCTTATGAGTCAAGCTCTAATTAGAGGAACTGAGGTACAGTTTCCCTTTAACGACTGCAAAGATGAAAAACATGGTTATTTTTGTCTTTTCATCAAAACTCTTTGACAAGTATACAGCACTCACCACCTTGTCCCTACAGTTAAAATGAAAGTCGCTTTCTGAAAGAGTAAAGTACAGCAACAATTAGAAGAATAAAAATAAAATAAATTAGGCATGTACTGGTGCCGTTTGGGCACAGTCTGGACTTTTCCAGATGACGCTGTGTTATACTCGAAGGTGCCAATGAAAAACAATTATAGGAGGGACTGTTATTAATTTTCCACAGGGATCAAAGCCCCCTAGGTACATAGGAGACCCACTCAACCCCATGAACAGCCCATTGGTTAAGTATCCGTGCCTACCTTGCAGGTCTCTGCAGGAGAAGAAACACTTATCATGGACATCCGCTAATGAAGATAATTCCCTTTTACCCCCAGTGTTAGACTACTATGCTCTTAACCCTGAGGGGTATGTCTACACAGATATTTAGGGCTGACTTTGAGGCTACCCTTGTGCTATGAGCTGTTCTTTTCCATCAATGCCATACATTGGGGGGGGGGGTTTTTTTTTCCCCAAACCCACATAGTGGGGGGGGGGGGGGGGGCACATGAAACCCATCCAGACTGTGCTTCTTATTTCTTGAGCCTACTACTAAGAGGTCTCCTTCGTCTGCAGCCTTTCTAGGACTCTGTCTGTGAACTACTCGTCTCTCCTTCTGGGCTCAACTTAGGCAGGAGAGGGAGATGTGCATGCAGAAGGGCTGGACGTCAGGAGAACAGGACGGCAGGATTGCTGGTGGTGGACTTCTTCTGTTCAAGGCTTGCATGATGTGGTAGCTTCCAAACACAGGATAGGAGGTGAGTGGGATGAGGTTGCCCCTTACCCAAAGTTTAGCAAACTTTCCCGGCTCGGTGGGAGTTGGGCTTAAAGGCGCCCACTATACCTGGCTGGAGGGATGGTCTGCAGGGTGACCTCAAGGCGGCCTCCAATGATCTGTGTAGGCATACCTGGGTCCAACCCTGGCTGACTACCCATGACGGAGAGCTATTAGTATTTATTCAGCCATGATGGACAGATATGCATTCAACCAAAACACAAGGCAAATTGTTCCGACAGAAAGCAATGCTTAAATTGTGCTTACGGGTACGTCCACGTATTTGGAAGCTGCCTTCACCTGGAAAGGGGTGGGGAAAAAAAGAAGAGAGAAGACACTTTAGACAAAAGCGGATGTACAGCTACTACAGTACCTAAAGGCTCTCCACTATCCACCTGTCCGGTACATGCCCAGAGCTGCTCCAGCGGCACGGCTCCCAGCCAGGGTCCCAGCTCACTCAGTAGGGTTTATCCTCAGCTGAGCTGGCTTGCTCTGTCAGCAGGACCTTTGCCATCTTTTACTCTGCAGTTTTGCCCTAGCACTGTGAACAGATGGCAGGGCTGGCCTTTTTGCAAGGCTCCCAAGCTGCTGAGAGGGGGCACTGGTGCTCTTCCACTCTGGTTTGGTTGCTGGAGAAGGGCTCTGGTAGTGAGATTACCTTTGGACATGGCACTGGGAGGAATGAGAAGCTCATCCCCAAGCTTACAGACTGCAGAGGCCTCCGCTTTATAACCAAGGGCAGCCTTGACAGACGCAAAGGGTTCAGGATCACGTGGACTGACAATATTTGGGGGCGGTTTGGGTCCCCGATTCTCCAGCTGTCAGACCCAAGGCACTTCCTCCCTGGGCAGACCACGTAAGGACAGCTGTTAGCTGCACCTGGGATGGGAGTTTCAGGTTCGCCTTTCCAAACTGGGCCGTTTCCAGGTGGGCAGGGAGACCTCTTTACAACAGCAGCATAAGGCTCGTGGCGAAGCGCTTCCACGTGGCTTCTGCTTTCTAATTAGGAGACGCGCAGCTCGCCATCTTTGTTTGGGTGTAAAAAGCTCACCTGCTTTTAAATATTTCTAAAGCTACCATTAAAGCAGCCTAAATATAACACGCTCACAATTGCATCTCAGGATGAATAAATTATGTGTCCCGAATGAGAGGATGAATGTATGTGTGAGACAGAATGTGAGAGTGGGTGGATGTGCTCGTATGCTGCATGTGTGGGGGTGAATAATTAAGCACAATGAGGCAATGCAAAAAAAAATTTTTTTTAAATTACAGACTGGTGGTAATGGCTGAGGTTCATATTTTGAGTGTTTCCAGCAATAAGGCCCCTGAACTGGAGTGAAAGACAGCGGGGGACTGGTAGACACTCTTGGGACTTGAGGGGGTCTGGATCGAGGGAGACATGAATGCAAGGATCTCAGTGGGGGCATGACAGCCTCATCACCTATCTATACACCCAGAGGCTTCAAGAGCAATGTGAAACATCTGGCTGAGCAGCACATTTATGTGGGCTCGATACCAGAACGGTGGTGCAAGGGTCCGTGTCAAACGGGAGGTCAGAGGAGGGGACCGCTCCGGCCTTCGAACAGGAGGAAGGACCGAAACATGCTTAAAGTCCATGCCAGCAAACTTAAAGAGAGGTCATGCAAAAATAAACCTCTCTGTGCTTGAGGTGTGCATAAGGCTCTCCTTTCGCACCTCACAATCTTCCTGGCAAGCGATCCTCACAGCACCCTTATGGGTGAGGGAAGGGAGGATGTTCCCATTTTATAGAAGGGGAACTGAGGAGCTTGATCCCGTGCTAGTGCAGGCCGTCACCCTTGATCAGGGACGCGCCAAAAACGACAGGTCAAGTTTTCAGTCCTTGAACATCATCTGCAGAGATGTGACTGACTTGTGCTTTCCCTTGGCAGCCCAGGAGGCAACTGAAGCTTTGCCACTCACTTGGGGGGCAAGGGAGCAGTTTGCACTCCCAGGAGGTCTACAGAGGACCAGGGATTTGAACTCAGGTCCTCCAAGTCGTAGGCTACCACCAGACCCAATGGGGCAGCCCCCTGCATTAAGGAAAGCGGCAACGACAATACTTCAGCCTACTTTCTGCAGTCCCCTTTCTCCACCCACAAAAACTAAGCTGCTTTTCCTTTTTTTCTTTCTTTCTTTCTTTCTTTTCCTAAAAGCAATATGAATAATTACTTGTTTTTCCTTAAAGTAAGATTTGGCTACATTCAGTGAAATTTCCAAACTGCCGGATGTTGTGTGATTTTTGCTAGGCTGCAGTTTTTCACAAATTATGAGACTTTTCCATGAAATATCTCAGTTTACCATAAAAAAAAATTGTGCAGAACAAAAATAAGATCTTTTGCATCTCTCCCTGGGGTGATATTCCTGCTCCAGTTTTAATTAAAGTAGATGCAGTTCTTTGCTGTTCAAAGAGAGGGGCCATCTCCATTAAATAAAAACCTGAGCAGCTGGCATTTTTTGTGACTCAGTGGTCCTTCAGAGACAGATGCCCATCTTATCACTGGACTGCCGTTACTGAGATAGATAGATAGATAGATAGATAGATAGATAGATAGATGAACCTATCTATCTATCTATCTATCTGTGTGTATATATAGATGCATAAGTGTATATAGTCACATTTAGAAGGGTATTTTCATTTGGAAGTGCTTTATAATGAAGTGGCTAGTGAGAACTTTATTAGGGCAACAGATGCATTAATTTTATCTTGAATTTCAAGGCAGGAACTGAAAATGAGGATTTCCTACTAGGTGATAAAATTGTCTGTCACAAGACCCCCAACTACATGTCATTTTTCCAGAGCCTGGAAAGCATGCGATGAAAGGAGTCAGGAGAAGGGGGTGGGAAGATTAGTGCTTCAGAATTAAATGGCTTGGACCATAACACTGTGCTTTATTTGTTCAGACAGGGAAAACGTGGGAGGTGGTGCAACCGTTCTGTAACGAGGGAGAGTTTCTCTATTTATCACTGCAAATGCTAAACACAGAAAAACCGCACGACTACCCCCCCGGGAAGCTGTATGGCTCAGCGAGACTCTCTGAGCAGCCTGCCACAGGGGCGGGGGGACCTGGTGACCTCCACGTGGAAGTATTTATTGCCATTAGAGGGCAAAGGGAAGACCCTGGCCTGTCCCCTGCCTTCGAGGATACAGCTCAGGTCTGCCTTTCCCCCACGATGGAAGCAGAGAAGCGTCAGCGTGCGGGAGTGCTCGGTGCTCTGCAGAGCCGGGCACGCTGGGTGTTGATATGTCCGGAGGAGAAGGAGAAGCAGTTTCAAAACAGTGCTTCCCCGCTTTGCTTCTCCCTGGCCCAGGGTTTGGAGTTTCAAGACGGTGCTTCCCCACTTTCCAAACCCCGGACCAGGGAAGCCAGCCTCCTCAGGATGCCACATCAGTCAGAGCACCGTCCTCAATGAGAGCCCAAACCAGCCCAGGTGGCACCTCCTCTCTCCCAGGCTGGTGGCTTCTGCTTGGCCCCGGGGCTTTCTGGCAAGTGCAGCCAACTCCACCCCAGCCACTGCCATCAGCTCCTGGCCAGAGCATGAGGTTTAGTGGTTTCCACATGCATCCACTTGCCATGAGCTTTGTTTTCAAGTGGGTGGGTTAAGCTAGGCTGGGGGTAAGATGATCTGGGGCTCGACCCCCTTGGAGCAGCAGCTATGAAGGCTGCCCCCACCCTGCCATTACCCCAAAGCTTAAAAAATTTGCAGCTGCTTGGCCACAACCCCAGGGCCTTCCCCTGTCCTCCACAATCCACGTGCAGACATAGGGATGTGCGTGTCCCAGCGTGGAAGGGAGCAGCCCAAGCCCTGGCCCTCGGTGCAAAAACCACGATGTGGAGCACGGTGCGCGGCCACCACCGAGGAACAGCTTGGCTCGCACCGGAGGAAGAACCGCACAGCGCGCCGTCTTCCCGGGCTGATGCTGGCACTTCCGATGCCTGAAAAGCTGCCGCCCCCACATCCTCTGGTGCTAGCACACGAGCGCACACATCCTCTTCCCGACGGTACGCTAACTGGCAGGAAGGCAGCCAGCCTCTGCCCTCCAGCCCTCTTCTGCTCAAGAGAGGATCTAAGGGCGAAGCACCACCCTCAGCTTTAGTGCTGGGGATTCGGGAGGAGGTGGCGGGGATAACACGTGGGGTAAGGGAACGGAGGAAAACAGGCACACCGAGCGTGTAGGCCACAGCCAGTGGGCAAGCAGCCGTATGTCTTTGCAGCCACAGCACTGCATGGTCTCGTAATGGCAGGGGAGCCAGAGACGGAGGTGGGGAGAGCTGCATGCTGTCCTCCTTGGCACGAAGCTGTCACAAACTCGACCCGGAAGAAGGCAAGCGGAGGGGGGCTGGGACCGAGACACGACATCCAAACCTGAACCATCTCCTGCAGCCCAGGAAAGGAGAAGCTGGATGAATTCTTCCTCCTTTGTGCAATTCAGACCATTACCACAGTTTCCCTGCAAGGCACTGGACCACTTTTAATGCAGAAGTGCACTGCGCACAACTCCTTCTGTGCACTCTCCATTACAGTGCTAGCGAACACGACACGGGGACCTCTCCTCTCCATCTGCTGCATGCCCCAGCTCAAAGCAGGGCCACCCTTGTCTAAGCCATCCTAGCAAGACATTTGTCCAACAAACAGAATGACCTTCTCTGCCTGCCCACCACGTGCACTGGTAACAATCTCACCTACGGTGCCACAGCTATTCAGAGCAAGGCGCAGAACATTGCTCTGCACACATTTAAGTTTCCAGGACGTGCACTCACAATTATTCAGGCAGAGAGATGCAAAAAAAAAAAAAAAAAAAAAAAAAAAAAAAAATCCTGCTGATGAGTCGAAGTACCCAGTTTTGAGCCCAAATGAGCGAGAGGGTTCGAACATGCACATAGATATCCTTGAAAATTCAGTGGGGTCCATTTTCAGGGGACTGTCGCAAACTGGCCTTTTTGTGCAATTATTAGAAAAACAGGATAATTTGCTCTCTCCCCCCATACGTTTCTATGCCTAGAAACTTTAGACTCCATTCCAGCACCGTGAGCCAGATCCAAGGGATATTTCCTGGCAGCAGGTTGTTTAAGGCAGGTTGGTTGTTTATCTCCGGAGCACTTGCAGTGCTAAGACAGCACAGGAGGACGGGGCTAGCATCTCTTTCAGGACTTGCAAGGTTTAACAAGGGAAAGTTGGCCAAGGAAAAGGGAACGGATTTTCTCTACTTACAGTAAACGACAGGAAAGAGGAAAACAAAGTCCCTTCATCGTATCTGGACAGCTTGGCCAGGACTCCTTCCAGAATGGTGACGAACTGCAAGGAAGAAAAACACCGCAATCACATCTTGGTCGTCCACGATGGGGCGAGAGTCGGGGCGAGCTCCAGCCCAGTTTTACAGCTGCATCGATGGGAGCGGCAGCGCACCCAGGCTGCAACCAACTGAGAACCTCCATGCAAGGTCAGGAAGGATGTCTGCAATAAACTAATTAGGGCACATTTTCTCGAGGTCACTTAACTGATTGGGCATGAGTTTTCCCTTCAGTGCTAACTGGTGATACTGGTTGCTTCACCCCACGGGAGATGGTGGAAAGCTTGTGGGTCCCAGGAGCACTGTCTCTTAGCAGGGGAAGTCAGATGGCTCGCGTTCCCAGGGAGAAGTATCAAGGAGGCAGCCAGCTGGTTAGTCTTGCAGATGACTCCGACGGGCATATGCCGGCAAGCTATGTTTAACCGTCCCCCCATTGAATCAGTGAAGGCTTGTTCTCAGCTAGCCAAAACTAAAGGAAAGGCACTCTGGCTATGCCCTCTACACTCATCCTGGCACTTCTCACCAACCCGATCTCGGCACCTAGACACGAGCACACCTACATTTGAACATCAGAAATACCAGCTAACTCTCCAGAGAAAAACCAACTTCCAAAAATCAGCCGTGACATTTCAGAATATGCTCCCTGGGACCAGAACGCTTGTTAAAAATCCCTCACGTTGGCTTTGAGCTGGAGCACGCCGGTTTGCGAGCGCGACTTTTCCCCTGCGTTGGGTGTGCAAATGTGACAGATGCCCACATGGCTTGTGCAGGGGGAAACCCTTCCATCAGGACTGAACAGTGCCACCTACTGAGGGCAGCTTGGGTGTGTGAACGTGGGCATTTGTGTACGCAAAATGGTGCACGCAAATAACACAGATGCTTCCTTAAAGGAAAAAAAAGAATGGGCCCAATCTGCCAGCAGTATATTGCATCTCATATGCAGCTCCTAATCATCAAAAGAATCATCTTGAAAGGGTTGAGTGATGTACAAGCTTGCCTGTGAGAAACAACAAGCCAATTCAACTTCTTAATGTGTCACATTTTAATGGAAATACATGTATAAAAAAAAAGCGATGTTAACAGTGAATCATTCCACCTGAAGCTGAAGGTTACCTTTGCCACTAAGAGTGTTATCATTTCTTTGACGGTTTCCTCAATTAGTTCATCTATTTTTGAATGGTACTGGTGCTAAGGAAAAATAAAAGAAAAGGCGGAGGTAAATATTAGCATTGATCGCAAGTGATGGCACTGTGATTATAAGCCTCTTCTTTTGGTAAAACAGGATTTGTAATAGTATCAGCTAAGAATTTGGCAGTTTATTTCCCAGGCCTCTGCTGATGTGGACAGTAATTACTTATATTTATGCAGGACTTTGAATTCAGGAGAAGCTGACAGTGCTTTGCATAGCACAGACAGCCCCTCTGTTTGCAATAATGAGAGCCAAATGCATGGGGCAGAAGGGAAACCATAGCCCTCCTATACTGGATGTAATAGCGACCACAATACTTAGTGCCTGCATATTCCTTTCTCAGGCCTGCAAATTCCTTGACGCAATGGCTTGCAAACATTCAGTAAGTACGTTTCTACAAAAATCATTTAACGGACTGTAGAAATGCAGCTGCCGCCAGCAAAAGGAGGCAACTCTCTCGCAGGGCACAGGACAGCTCTCTAGTCGCTTCGGAGAGGATGTGACAAATACCTTCTGCACCACAATTGCTAGGAGCTATGCTGGACATCTCACATCACATTCCTGCACTTGCAAAAAAACGTGCTACAGGGCTATTCAGGCTCCCCGCCGGCCAAGCATGTTAGTATGTGTTTGGCCTTAAGTTCAGGGGGACTGAAGCACACGCTGAAAATTAAGGACATGTTTAAATGCTCTGCTGAAGGGAGGCTTTTACAAGCATAAAGAAATCAGTCTTGGCCTTTTGTGGCAGGCAAAGGCAGCATCTCCAGCAGCACAGTGCCCTCTGCTGCTAATACCATCCAGGGGCATCGGGTCTGCGTCGGCTCACAGGAAAGTGCTCCAATGCACCTGTGGGCTTTCCACGTGGTCTCCCATCCAGTTGCTGACTATACCAAATCTTGCTCAGCTTCTGAACTCTGCCACAATCCCCATCCAAAGTCATACGGCTATACCAAAAGCTGGAATAATTTTCTGCTAATTTATAAAGACCTACTTCATTTAGAGGATTTAAGTAATAAGAACCAATAAGTCCATTTCTATTTTGAATGAATTGAGAAAAATATTTAATATGACTGTTTTCCAACATGAAACATCTGATTTTTAAATAAGCCACAGCAAGGATTGATCTTAGTCACTGTCACCTTACCCTTTCTTCATGTCACTGTTGTTTTAAAATGCTAACACCAAGTAACACTGAAAGAACCAAATATGCTTCACATACAAATCATACTTTTGGAACAAAGAGTGCAAGGACAATTAAAAGTGTAAGGCACTGGCTTCCCAGTGACTGCGTCTACAAGAGACACTTTACTGCACAGTATGCATCTGCATGTGTAGACAGTGACACTTTACTACTCAGTAGATGTCTACTGTGCAGTAAAGTGTCACTGTCTACACATGCAGATGCTTACTGCACAGTAAATTAGTCTACTGTGTAGCAAATTTACTCCTTGCATGAGCAGGGAGTAAATTTACTATGCAGTGAAGCCAAATAGCTTTAATTGCACGTGCAGATGCACCCAGTGTGTACAAGGCCCTTCTATCAGTCTGACCCGCCGTGTGATTTCCTTTTCAATAAAACCCTAACACATTATAACTGAAACTTGGGAAAAAGAAAAAAAAGTTTTGGACACACTTACCCACTCCTTAGCAAACTTTCAGATGATTGGGGACAGAAATAAAGAGGAACATGCAGAAGACAGGAAAAAAAAGCATATGAAAGTAAACAATAAATAAAACAAAACCTTCCAAAATAAGAAAAGGGACCTTTCAACTGGGGCCACAGAAGGAACAGCAGCAGGCGCGGAAACAGTAAGCAACGGAAAATGAAACACAAGCAAGCCCCACTTTCACTGCAAGACCAGCGAGGGAGAAAGCTGGGAAGGAGGAAGTGATTTGATACAGAATCTGTACTGGAAGTCTCTTATGAGAAGGAACAAGGACTTGATTTCACTGCACGTGGAAAAAGGAAGGTAAAATACATCCAAGCCAATGGCAGGGCAGGTGCATGGGGAGTTTCAACACAAGGGGCCTGAACGAAAGAGTGGACACAAGCTCATTGATTAGGGAGGTGGGTCAAATGAAGCAGCTTCCAGCCTCCCAAACTGCGTCCCTCCAACAGGCAAATCAACAGAGGAGTGGAGGCAGCAGAGGTTATCTGGGCTGTGGGGAGAAGCTAAGATGTGCCCTCCTCTGATGTACTGGAAAGGGCGAAACCAGTGCTACTCCTTGGTATTATGGATGTATGTGCCTCTGTGCGAGTCTACTTCCACAGCAGCTTTCCTCCTGCAGGGAAGGTTTATCTACGAGCTGTAGGAGACTTCCTACCATGTGCTTCTCATGCAAGACCTCTCTACCGCTCAGCCGCGTGGGTGGGTAGGTGGGTGGTGGGCCCGGTGCAATGCCGACAGGAGTGGTACGCCGGCAGATGAAGGTTGTAGTGCAGCGAGCGCTTTCTGCATGTGGTAGCAGAAGTGTCCCGGAGGAGGGGATTGCTACCCGCAGAACAACACAGAACAACAACGTATGCCACGCCACCTCGTGGAGCTGTATAATGGGGCTGACGTTGAAAGCAGCAGGCATGCAATGCTCAGCCTGACTCCAAGGTGCAACAAAACCTAGGGGCGAGACAGGTAAGTGCAAACTCAGGGCGGTGAGGTGGGCACCGGAGCTCATGGGCCTACCGTGCCCTCGCTCCTGTGGGGGTCACTTTAAAGTTCCCCCAACTGGGTTTCAGGTTTTGCCTATGAGCCCCAAAGACCTGCTTAATGCGCCTCATTAGCATGTTGTTTTAATCAAGGGGTTTGGGTAGCTGGAGACGGGGCAGGTGGAGTTTGTTGCTAACTGTTCATTTTCATGGGATAAATTATGGGATTTAACTCGGAGAATGGCTAGGTGCGTGTCAAATAATACAGCGTGAAACGTATTGACAAATATCTTCACAATTAAAAGCTTGTTTACAAAGCAAATCAGAAGAGCAGCGGCAGCAATAAATGCAGCCCTGCGGAGGGAGAAAACACTCAGGCCTCTACAGCAAAGCATCTGCTCTGGCTTTGCTCTTCAAGAGGGTCCCCGGGGGCTGCTCCCCCATGGTGGAGGTTGAAAACGCGAGGGCAAATTCAGATCGGTGTCAAGTGAGCGAAGCTCTGCTGAAACCAGGACCAAACTCAGATGGTCCTTTCAAAGCAACAGTGGCATGAAGCCAAAGCGGTGCTTCTCTGCTCCTGCTGCCGCTCTGACAGCCGGCGTCTCCCCGGGGCCGTTACGGCACCTTGGGAGCACCGAGGACCTGGCCCTTGGCAGGGGTGCAGGTAGGGGCCACCGGGTGATCCCTCTGTACCGGCTGATCCTCCCCAGTGGGCCAGCTGGATTCAGAGCGGCTCTGCACTGATTGCAAGGCATGCCGCAGCTGCAGAGCAGCTGAAGTCTGGGCTTTCTGCGATGCAAAGAAGCTTCCAATAAACCTGTGACAAAGGGCTCTTTTCCAACGGGCTCCAGCACCGGTGAAACGCCAAATGTCATCGGCTTAATTTTGTGTGTAATATTGCAGCACACCTCTGCTGTTCTTTGCCTACTGGGGGTCCAGCCCTGACAATGGAGATGAAATCCATTTGACACGCAGCCTCATTATAATCACCCCACGAGGAAATTACGGCTGCATTATGAATCTGGCACAAACGATTGCCCGATGACATGCATTTTTTGCCTGGGTCCAGTTCATAGTTCTGGGTTTCTTTTAGTTCTTCTATTTCTTATGAGGCCTGTTGTTAGAGGTCAAACATTAGCCCTGCTTTGTTTGATTTAATAAAAACTTTGGAGAGAATCACGATTTGTTAGTAGCTGAATTATTACAACTCACAATTCCTCCGCTAAAATTATTCCACTTGACTTTATGTGGTGCATATTTTGCCTTGTCATATAACAGATTGTGTGTGCGCTGCATTTCTGAAAGGACCATCTGACCTTGGATATTAAATAAAAACATCATAGACCAACTGAGAAACATTTAATACATAAATTTATACCCACTGATGTATTAAAATGCAGCGGAAAAATAAATATTTGAAATGGTAAAGCGTGTTTACCAAATGCTTGAACAGCTGCTTTCAGCTATAAGGACGTGGGAATGAAGTGACGGGAATGTATTTAGGAGAGTAATATTGCTCTTAAACTGCATCTTATGGGTCACATGTGTGTTAAAGACATATGGACACAAGGTAAGGTAGCCTTAAAAGAGGCTTTTGGGGGAAAAAGTGATATAAGTGAGGCTCAATGATACATCAGAAGAGTCTCTCTCTCAACCACTGGGCAGCTTTCACTCTGATGAAGAAGTATTGCTTTTTTATTTTTAAAACAAATATCTGCGGTGGCTGGAGCTGGGCAAGCTGTGACACACACACAGTGTATCTTACACCTGTAGCCTTTTTTCTGCTTGTGAAGTGTCTGCCAAGCGGGTCCCAACGTTCACAAACTCACTTATCCACTGTTGGGCGAGCAGGGCTTATGCGCCTATTTGAGCCTGGGGGATGCTCGCAAATGATTTACGGACAAAAATCCCACCCTAGCGCAGGGGTCCCACTCAACGCTGTGTTTGCAGGATAACAAGTGAGCCTTGAATGGTATAAAGGCTTTCTATGCCCATTTCACCCAGAGTGGACAAATTATAAGGAAAATCAAAACTTGGTTTGTAATCTATTTGCATTTCTAATTTGGGTTTAGAGCTGAAATAGAAGAGTTGGAGTAGCAGCTTACTGAGGACTGTTACTCCAGTTATTTCTGGGGACAACAATTGTGGGTGTGCATCTGTGTGCGTGGATGGGTGTGCATGTTTCAGCCCCTTTTTTGGGTCAAGCAAAATGATCTCAATACAGAGCTTTGTACACCTTCAGGAGCTGGCAGTTGACAAAAGAGAGGTGGTGCGAGCAACGAAAGCGGAGAGCAGAATATTCATGAAAAAGAAGAAAAGAAAAAGGTGGGCACATGAAGTTTTGCAGCCCTAAACAATGACTTATGCACTGATAATTTACATCTGATTTACAGGTCTATTAGTTCAGCTATTTGTTAAAATCATCATCCCACAGCAACTGCTGCTTTGCATAACAGTTGCATTATTTCTGTGCTGCTATACCAAATGCCTTCTGAAAGAAGCACAGACAGATTTCATGGGATTCAGGATGGATAGTAGGTGAGTGGCCAAGTAAACTGAGTGTAGGCTTTTGCTTTCTGGAGACCTTAGACAGATGGGAGATGAGCTTGATAATCTCAACAGTATATTTGCTACAACGGACACGTGACTCGCCAAGGGAACGCCAGTAATGGCTGCTGTTGGTTAGAACGGATGGGTACACTGGGCTTACCCACATTATGTCCACATTCAATTAATGTTAGAAGAGTCTCATGCTATAGACTGAATATTCCTTCGTAATTCTTACTAATACAACTAACTACTCCTGTAATATCCTAGGGGCTGTTGGAGTTGGTTTGATCTCTGAAATATGTCTTCCTCAGGAGCCTTGCTAACTGAATTCATAAAGGTGAATGCGATATCTTGTATTAGACCAACTCAAATAGTTGGAAAAAATTCTTCTTTGCAAGCTTTCGGGCACAAACACCCTTCGTCAAGCAGAGCAGTTGCTTCCTCAGCCTGAAGAAGGGCGTTTGTACCCAAAAGCTTGCAAAGAAAAATTGTTTCCAGCTATTTGAGTTGGTCTAATAAGAGATATTAGATTGACCCAAAGAACCTTGTCTGCCTGCGTCCTTAGACCAACATGGCTACAACCTATATCCCTAAAGGTAAATGCATGATTTGTATTGCAGACAAGTTCCTTGGGTGAATTTGATATCTTTTATTAGACCAACCCAAATGGTTGGAGAATAGTTATTAAGCAAGCTTTCGGGTTCAAAAACCCTTCGTCAGGCTAAGGAAGCTTCATCAGTTGGTGTGTGCTCTTCCTGGATTTGTATTGCAACTCTTACCCCTCCGGCCTGTCGGGAAGGTGCTAGCATGGATATTGTGGGAGCAGAGAACTGGGAATCAGGGCAGGCAAGGAGAAGAAACAGAGGCAGGAGGAAATGTGGTAATTCTACCAACAAGTATTGGACCAACAAGGGTCCCGTTAGTACGTGTCCTAAGTTGGACTGGTGGACAAGGAGGAAACTCAACCATAAGCATCTCAAAACCTTTCTTATCAACAAGACCATCACAAATGAAATGCTACAACTGAAAGCCCACAAAAAATAAAAGAAGAGTGGGCCCAGTCCAAGGCCTGCTGATGCAGTGCTAAGACACCCACTGAGTCCAGCAGGCTTTGGATAAGGCCCTTCAAGAGTAGCAGGAAGAGGTAAATAACTAGAAGGAACAAGCAGTTTGCAATGATGTATTATACATTCCAACCACGTGAAGTTGCACTGGAAGAGCTCATCTAGGCAACTGGCAACCAGAGAGGAGATGCAAACGATTTTTCCTCAATTGATTCTAAACTGGCATATGAATATTTAACTTGGCTTCTCGCCTTTGGAGTGACATGAACGTGGAGATGCATTTCATCTAACCCAATTTAGCATGCCTTTTTAATTCATCTATAAATTTATGGAAATTTCAAGCTGAAACAATGTCTTTTAAAAGCAAAAAACAATCAACAAGTGATTAGAATTGGATTGTTTTTTTTAAAAGTTGAGCCATTCAAAACCTGGTAAATTAGGATCATACAACATCTTGATTTCAGCCAATATACAAGGAAGTCAAAATGGGTGGAATTTGGATATATTTTTGGAAGTTGTCTTTTTAAAAAAAAAATAAGCAACTTAGTGCTTTTCTTTTCCTAATGTTTTCTATACAAAAGAGTCTTATATTGGAAATCTGTTGACTACATGTAAACAGTTAGCGTTTGGGCAAACATACATCTGGCTCCAAGGTGAACTTAATGACTCAATAAACACAGTCATCATGCATTAGCAGGCTTTAAAGGTACCTTATGCACACCACAATCCTTGCCAACAATCACTTGCAAGTGACTGGAATTCTGAACGCCCATATTCATTAGACTGATTTGACGGAGAGACCCTGAATATTCATCTGCTTACTCTGTGCAAAAAACGAGGTCCACAACTGTTAGAAAGTTTCTGAAACTAGCAGAACAATAGATGGGAAAATTCATGACATTGTCTCTAGTTTACATAAAAACCAAGAATAATCTACGTTTTTACCTCTTGGCCCATTTCCATACTGCAAAGCTTTGTTGACTGAGCTTTGGCATCGACCATAACATTAAACATGGTGCATATTGACTGAGGGACTCGGAAATCTGTTGATCGACTGGTTTTTTGCAGCTTTACTTCAAATGCAATCCTGGTTCTATTAAAGAAAGTAGGAAAAGACCATTTCAGTTGGTGCTTAAGATACTGTGACTAATAAGAGGTGGAACGCAAAGTTTAGAAGGCTTTGGTGAAACAGAAGACTGAACGCGAACATCCGTGGCAAATACAATTACTCCAAATGTGTCTTAGTAAGTTTGAAAAGAAGCCTGTTCTACAGAATATGTTCTATTTATAAAGTGTGTAACAGTCTCACAGAAACTATTACTTTCTCATACTTGGTAAACAGCGTGATGATGCTGCAGACGGCAGTGGCAATGCACACCTGTAATTTGGGTGATATTAGCTAATTTATACCTACTGTTTAAATGCAGCAACCTGGGTGAATTAAAGGCAATTCTATTGACACACAATACTAAATGCAGAGGGTACAAACCTGTTCAATTGCTTGGCATGAAGGGCACTATGGGATTATTGCTTTTTCTATGTTCCACAATAGTACTGGCTTGCCCAAACCCTTCTCAAGGGTCATAAAGGTTCCTTTAAGTGATTTCTTTGAAAAAACAAATGCACCTAGCAGAAAACCTGGGCAAGATGTTAAATGCAGAAGTGTGCAGGTATGTAATTATGCAGGCTCTTCTACACACGTCTTGCTGCCCCTACGAAGCTTTATTAGTTGCAATTTCCTTTCTTTGGCAGCTAAAGCTGTTATTTCAGTAAGAGTGCTGTCTGATCAAGACTGCAGGAGCAGTTTTAAATGCTCATTGGTCATCAGTGGTTTCACATATCACACTAGAAATATCTTCTGCATAGTGGGTAGCACTCCTTCCTTCCCGAGGTCTCTGAAGGCAAAATGGACCACTTGAAAGACCCTTTGCAATTAAGAGGCACTTTATTAACCTAACAGAGACACAACGCAGCAGAGGAGCCCACAGCACCAAACGAATGTGGAGAAAATAAAAGTATCAGTTATGCCTCAGTGGGAGCATCTCCACGTGTGCTTTAATGTGCATTAGCCTATTATACTGCACATTAACTACATAGCACCCTCTTTTAAGTGATGCTTTAATGCAAATTAAAATAGGCTAATGTGCATTAAAGTGCACATGTAGACATGCCCTGTGCTTTTTAGTTAGTGTGCCTTAAGACAGGCTAATGCTCATTTTATTAGTACTTCACAATGGAGGGCATTTTTACTCATGCTCCAAGAGGCGTGGGGGGGTGCTTTAATTAGTGGGTTGTGCTAATTAAAAGTGCCTGAGCATCACTTGTATCAGCATCCCCCCTGCTGAAAAATGGTGGTGGGGTACTTTGAACTCCAGCTCATCAAATGAGCTGGAGTTCAAAGTGCCCTGCCACCGTTTTTCAGTGCAGGGATGCTGATACCTGATGCTAGAGTCTGCTGGAGCACATTCATTTCTGTGCTCCAGCACACGCAATTAAATGAAGGAGAGCATTTCCCAAATTAGTCTCAATTCATTGAGTCTGCTGCAATGCACTGGATTTCCAGGGAGTCGGTGCCAGCTCTCTGCACACTTTTAGGAGCCCAGAGGAGTTGCTAGATTTAATGTGCATTAACTAAAGCACATTAATGCACGTGTACATGCGCCCAGTAATATCTGAACTTGTGGGATCCCAAGGGTCTGCCTACCTGGATTTGAGAGTAGATCCCAGGGCCTTTCTAGTGCCTTTCCCCCAAACTCCACAACAATAGCAACATACAAAACACAGCAACTTTCCAGAACAGCGCAGGGCTTTTTCCCAGGCTGGTATAGTGAATTAAAAGTTTGTTGTTTGGGATATTGTACCTCTTTGGTATCCATGCTGCATGGTGTGTATTCTGAGCTTTTGGGATTATCTAGAGTAGCTGGCTGCCAGGTAACTCAGCCATCAGAGCTACTGCATTTCAATAAAAGCTGTGTCTTTAATTTAACTACCCGCATGCTGCGTTTTTTTTCAGAATGGCAACAGCAGTCCTACTACAGTCTTTCCAGCGCGTGAACCTAGAGCCTCTCTCTCAGACACAAGACGCTACTTTCTTAGAAGGTGAGATTGTGAATCCAGACTTAGGAGTTTGGGAGTGATACAACACAGGCACAGGTTTGCAGAAGGGCCAAACAACGCTGGTTTGGAAGAGCCACTTCACCAGAACCGTGGCTGTCACCAGCCCAGGCCTGCGGCTGTGCTCACTGGCCCCTCCATCCGTTCTTCTCCTTTTGGTATTTACTTTGCTCAAAAGAGAATACAAAGATCTTTTCTTCCCAGTGCTGAATTACACCTTAAACCAACCAAAGACATGCAAAGCCTGGTGGAAAATAATGATGGTTTGGCCTTAATTTTTTGCTACTGAAATGAATGCTATGCAGAAGGCAGGGAAGGGTGGCAGGCTGATCGACTAACTGGTTCAGAGAGGCACGAGCTTTGGTAGGCAACAACCTCCTTCATCTGAAGGCATGAATAAGACTAAGAGGGAAAAATAGAGCAGTTAACCCCTTGAGGGACAAAGGCTTTTAAACAACAAAACTTTAAAAACTAACTTGAACTGAAATTGCGGACCAAGAAATCATCCACAGGCTGGACTATGTTAAGTCAACGGCAGTGGCAGTCCCTCAGTATGAGAAAAACAGTCTTCCAGTCAATAGAGGAGTCAAGGGTGGGTCCAGAGCTGGCTGAAGAGACTGCTCAGAGATCTGTACGCTAGGCTACAGACATGGCAAACATTTTTGGGGGCAGGAAAGAGTCCTAGTGATGCTGGGTCATGGCTCTTTCTTTCCCTTGTCTCTCTCATCTATCCACTGACATAGGGAGGTGAGTTTGCTCAAAGCAGTCAATGCCCTGTTGTACACCATGGTGCCAACGAGGGTGACCCGGTTCTGGAGTCTCCCAAGGACTGATGTTCATATCCCATGTCTTTAGACTGGCCTTCAAGGTGTTCTTGAATCTCTTCTTTTATCCAGCTCTTGAGCAGTGACCATCAGTGAGTTGGGAGTATAGGACCTGCTTCAAGAGCTGGTTGTCAGGCATCCTCATGATGTGTCCTGTCCAATAGTGTTGGTGCCATAGCATTTGGCTTTGATGCTGGTAGAGTTTGCTCGCGACAGAAGTGGTCTCAGCAAAGACTGGAGTCTTAGCTCAATACCAGGACTAGCTTGTATAACCCCCAGGTCCCTTTGCTTATCCCTTTGGCCCTTTTCAAGCCACCTGTCTCTCTCAGCAGTGCTCCCTCCTTTCTTCCCCTTTTCCTTTCTATTTATATGACTTCATTCCTTTCCATTTAGTACCCTTGCTCTCTGGAAACTCATGCATAGCAACTGATAAAGTAGGCTCTAGCCTACCAAAGCTCAAGCCTCTCTGAACAGCCAAAGTTAAGATGAAAGGTAAAGCAAAGACTGATATTTCCCAAACATTGACAGAAGAAGCGATGCCCCTTCTAGAAGGCCTCTCAGCCCAGCTGCTTCGCTATACTTCTCAACACAAGACACTTTAGACTTACCTCTTGACACAAGATTCAATCATGTCACTTGCCATGAGCTTCAGACGCTGCTCGAGATGTTTTCCAAATTCTTCCTCGGGCCAGTGTAAATCCCGAATGAAGGTCTGTAGGGCATCAAGTTTCCAAAACAGATCTTCAGAGGTTCCTGACCCATTGCTGGCAGGATAAAGTGGAAACAGAAGTCATAACCTGCACCAAGCTATTAGACACCTGATGTGGAGACCTTTCTTGGACAAAGACTAGGGTATGCAGTTGTTTAATACACAGAACAATATCAGACAATCTCCACCATCAGGGTTTTGAGTTTTACCATACATTTGCCTAATCTACCTTGCTGTTACAACCCACAAATCTTTCCAGGCCAGATGATAAGACAAAGTTATGAATTACACGTATTAGCTGGAAAAAGGGTGTATGGTAAAAATCAGCCTTAATTAATACTCACATGAATTTATGTGATTATTCAGAATTAAGGCTAGAATTTGTTGTTGAAAATCCTTGATTGATAATAACTACAGTACAGGAATGTATGCAGTTATTAAGATATAGGGCGTTTTTTTTTCCACCCAAGGTTTCCAGGTAAAGGACAGTGCTAACAAGTGGTGAGCGAGGACACGCTTTATCTCTTGAACAGCTGGAAAAAAATCATGGTAAGTCAATTGAACTAAGAACACTGGACATCTTATATTGAAGAGTTTTGGTTAGGTTGACTATTCCACCTCTTCAAGAATCAACCTCTTCCAAAGGCATCTCCAGGCCAACAGATCTGAGCAGTTTTTGGTTTTGTTTTTTTTGGTTTTTTTGATTTGTTGCCATGCCTTTGGTCTTTCGGAAGTGCATGTTTTCGGAAGTGCATGTTCTCTTACCCACTCCTCTGTCCAGACAGGACCCTTTGGTCTTGTGGTGTGCGGCTACTTTGGTTCTTTCCAAGTATAATTACATCTCAAACCTCCACTTACAAGATAAAACACAGGCCTCGATTGTGTTTGGCTTGCGCAGAGAAATTTCTGTCTGTAACCCTTTTCTCTCTCACTCTTTTTTCATGACATTTACCACGGGAAATTCAAGAGCTTTAACCTCCTCCTCGCATACCACTAATGCTAACACAGTAATTTATAAGATGTTTAACACACCATGCATTACCACTTCTGCTGACATCATCTATAGAAACAGATGAGGGAGGGTGTTTCTATTGTGACAGATGCCAGCTGCATTGAGTTAATGCTACAGAGGAAATTATAGCTAATGCATACATGGCTACCGCAAGGTGAAAACCATACTCCCAACATGCTAGAGGGGTCCTAGGGGGGGTCCTGTGCTAACAAAGGTAACCATTTAAAGAATGAGTCAGCTCAGGAGTGGGAAGAGATGTATCTGATGCTAAGGGAAAGGTAAGATTGAAACATGTCCTTAATAATGAACGGTGGGTGGGTCAAAGGGAATTGCGGAAATGAAAAGATACAGAATCAGGCATTTCCTTAAATGGCGTCTTTAACCAAAAAGCTACTTTGTGCAACAGCCCTGACAGTTGCCCTGTCTGCACATTTAGTTTCTTCTGTTTCAAACTTAGGCTTGGGAATAAATAAACTTGTTTTAGTTCCATCCCAATTTTGGAACCGCATGAATTCATGTTCCAAATAATTAAATACGCATGAATGCGAGAATTGGTATTTGCTACAGCAACATTAAGACATCCATCTGGTTTTGAAATTTAAAAAAAATATATATTCTTGGGATTTTTTTTTTCCTTCTGAACAGCTCGTTATTAGGTTTTCATGCGAGAAAATTTTTTTTTTTAATGTTTATTACCAAAAAGAACTGTTAATTCTTCGTGCAATAGCACTGAAATTACTTTGATCCCATAGCAGCTCACAAAATGCCTTTCACACTCAAGCTTTGATTTTATAAAAAGACGACTGTCCACTTTACTGTCATGTCTTGATTCTTATCTTTTCAGAAGCAGTATCACAGAGCATGCACAGAGGGGGGAAAAACTTTCAAGTACTTTTTACAGACACTGCCTAATCTAACCTTCAATACAGCCATCTTAGCATGAATATGAGTTGGATTTCTTTGAAACAGAATTAACAGCATTCATATTTCCAAGTATTTTAATTTTTTTTTTTTTTAAAGAATAAGATTGCATTTCCTTTACTGCCAGTTCATTGGCTTTACTTTCCAATATGGTACCTGTAGGATAGTGGAAGTCTGGTGGATTCCAGGTGTAGATGTAATTTAAGTCTCTGGCTCATTGCCACCCTTGCAATCCCAAAAACGTCTATGTTTGTTCATTTGAGGCGTTCAGTCTTTGTATAAAATGCCAATTTGTTCTTCCAAAATTAAAGTTCCCAACATTAAAAGGCATGTTGAGTCTGCCAGAAGGATCAGGACATGGTATCGATGGAGCAGACCGCAGACTGCACCGAGTCCTGGTTCCCCAGGCCATGTTCAGACTGCTTCTCTGCAAAAGGGTTTTCCTCGCCTTGCCTCTCTCTCCCCGGGGATCCCAAACACTTCTGCCTGCACCCTGGGAATTTGGCCCCGAGTCCAGCCAAGCATTCACTGAAGGCACTGGAGCAAGGGAGTAGCTTCATTGACTTCCTGTGCTCAAAGTTACACTGTGTTTTTAGCCCGTGATGCAGGGAAGAACGTAAGGCAGTGTTCAAGCCCAAGTCTGTTCAGTAAACGTCATGTTAAACATAACCTGTGGGAGGGATGCTTCCATGAGTTAGTGCCCTGTGGGGCTGGGGCCTTATGCCTGTCCTCCTTTTCACCTTTTAAGAGGGAAGAAATGGCAGAGGCAGGAGGAAGAGGAAGGAAGAAACCTGCGGGGGTGGAAAGTGAAGCGATAGGGGAGGAAGAGGGAGGAGCAGGGAAAGACAAGCATCATTTTTGTTGAAACAAAATGGTCCCATGAGGTGCTGCGCTACAACTCTCCTCTGGAGCAGAACAATTTATAGGGAACAGATGGGAGGGTTGGAACAAAGGACACTGAGCCATGGAGTAAATATGCTGGCTGGGGGCTGGTGGAAGGGCGATTTGGGAAAGTGGACACTCACGAAGGCACAAGGCATCTCAGGCTGCCCAGTTGTGAAGGGACAGCTGCTCCTGGCTGGATGAGACCAAGCTGCTCCTGCAGCAATCTGATCACACGTCCGCCCTTTACGCTCATGCTCTCATTGCTTATGCAGATGAGTGTCCTTGGAAGGGCTTCCCCAACATGGGGGGATAAAGCTCCTTGACCTTTGGGTACCAGCCCCCGGCACTGCTCAGAGACCCACTGCATTACAGCAGGTGCATGACATAGGCATGGTTTTATAGTGCCTCCTAAATCTAGATCCTCTAATAAAATATATCACCCTGACCATGAGCTCTAATTCCTCTTCCAATATGGTACCTGTATGATAGTAGAACGCATCCCATGTCTTGGGACACGCCAAAGGTGCGAGGCAGAGGAATGGGAAAGGCTAGCTTTTACACACTAATGACTTGGGCTTAGGGTTTGATTTCCTAAGTTGGATTCAAAGCCTTCCACTAAAAATTGTTTTTCCTCCTGTCAGACATTTAAATATTCAGACGGTGACAGCTAGTTACAGAATTCAATTACTATCTGGGGCTTCCCACAAAATGAGTGAGAATCTTTATGTATAAGCACCTGTGATGACAATGCTGTGCAGAATTACAAGGAAAACAAACCATCAGAGGCAATGAGGAACTTGCAAAGAAGTAAGATTCACTTTTAGATCTACATCTGGTCCACAGAAATTGGTCAGCTAGCACTAAAGTTGTTTCATCTCCTCTTTTGGAAAAACTTTCTCCTGAGATACGCCATCTTCCAGGATGCATTTTGCAATTTATACTCCAACAGGACTATATCCCACTGTCGAGAACTAGTTTGCAAAGCGAGACATTTGCTCAAATTTCCAGTGGGTGCAAAACAAATCCTCAATATTGATAAAAAACTCACAACGTACATGCCAGAAATACAGAAGGGTTGCCTCATTCAGAGAAACGTCTAATTATCTGTCTGTGTCACTCTTTTGAAGTTCTATATATAATGCACAGAAATAAATAATACATATCCATGCCAAGATTACTTCAAATTTAAATTAGATCTAATGTGAACTGAATACACACTCAGAATCATATATAGCAGCCATCCATGACGGTGCAGAAAAGCTAGGCATTTGTGGGATGCCTAGTGGGATGTTAACTGGTAGGTTTGGAACTTTAGGGAGATTCACATTGGGTAGATTCACATTGGGCAGATTACTTGTTAAACTCCTGTGGAAGAAACAGACAGAAAGAAAAAAATACCATAACAGTGACAATGCAGATGTAGCAGAAGCATGTGACACTCATAAACAAATCTGCAAAGTTCACGGCAAGACAACAGTCAAAAAACTAAAGCAAAACATTTCAGAAAGAAGCATGAGCATGGAAGGCTTAAGTGTTTTGGGGGGTTTGTTGTTTTTGTTTGTTTGCAGTCTGCAATAAAAAAGCAAGTTACTTAAAAAACCAACAAAAGAAGAAAAATCACAAAGTAGCAAATTAACGGACCGCTCAAACACCCACACAGAAGGATTTACGGATCCTGATACGGTTTCAGAGCACGGAAAGCAGCTCCGAATTTAAAAATGTGTCCCGTGAGCAAGCAAACCTCAAGCTCGAGATTATTTAGAGGATGGAGATAGGGAAGGGCTACGCTCGACAGTCCACTGGGAAAGGTTTTGCCTCAAAACCAGGCTTCAAATGGCTAAGGGTGAATTCCTGGCTCTAATGAAGTTGACAATTGGGCCACTGAATTCAATTCACCCTGAATGTGAGACGCTCCCCCTCGACCGCCCTTTTTCCAAACAGTCAAGAAATGCTTTAATCTGGAGGAGCAGAACAGTGTCCCACCACGTGAAAACTAAGACGCCAGGCCTGTGGTTGGACTCCTGCATGCAGATCCCTGGGCCTGTTGGAAACGGGGCTCCACATAATTGACCCCAGGGCTTACTTGAGTGCATCTGATTCCAGCGGTCATAAATGAGGAGCACTGTATCGCGTGCGCTCCCAGGCCCCGAGAGCCAAGTGCAATTGTAGTGTGACACACGCAGACCTGGGCACAAAACCCAAAGACTAAGCACGAGCTTTGTGCATGAATGCCCCCATTGCAAAGAGGGCCATGAGACGAGCACGGTAGTTGTAGCTGGGCACGATGCCTTTAATGGCAGTCTCAGACGCCCAAGTATGACATGAAAAATAACTTTGTAAAAGTGGTTTAGTGTATCAAATACAAGGCAATTTAATGTGATATATTTTCCAGAAGAAATAACACTGCATGCTAGTGATTTGCAAAATACCCATAAATATTTGGTTGTGCTGCAGGTCCCTGAGCTGTTAACATAGGTCTGGCTGTATTTTACAGAGCATCTCAAAAAGTCCAATTACATGGCATTTTACATGTAAAATAAAAACTTGTGCCTCACTTTGGCACCTGGGAGATGTACAATTTGAGCGGCTGACTCCTGGGGCCACCTGATGAATGGGGGAGAAGCCAGTGGTGGGGAGTATCTCCTTTCTGTGCAGCACATAAGGGCATCAACCAAGGAAGTTTTGTACAACCTCATTCCAGAGGCAAGTCCAGATGTCTTGACTGAATTTTTATTGGGTCCTTATTCCCACCCAGAGTTTGTCTGAGTAAAGACTCATTAAAAGCTGAATCAGGACCCCAGGATCTAATGCTTGTTCCTGCCTGCTGGAGCTAGCAGAAGCTTTGCTGCCGAGAGGCAGGTTCGGGCAGTTAATCTTCTGGCTGCACGAAGTGAATGCCTATCACGGTTGTACTAAAACGCTCTACCTTGGAAGGTCTCTTCCACTCCCTCGATTGCTGTTGAATTTTGTGCAGCATGATCTGCAATCCTGGAAAGCGACAGAACCCTACAAACTTCTCGTCCCCGAGAATATCGCGACAGCAATTTTCTACAGTTGTACGTACATTTCTGGATTGCATTTCTCACTGTAAATCTTACTGCATCAGGAAACAACGAAGTACCGTTGTGCCGACAGGGCTGGGTATACAATTGCTAACATGGTAGAATACCTGCCCTGAATCTCTGCAGTTCTGTTGGCAACCAATGTTTTGAGCCATTGATTACATGGCTAATAGGCACTCATGACTTCGGATCTCCATTCTGAGCTTCTGAATAAAGTCCCACCTTTCAGAGCAAAATACAGAGCGAACTGTTTTGATTTACTTCCGTTTCCGGTTGCTCGATGGATTTGACTTCAGTTCCTGCTATCTGCTTGTTCTCTTTATGAACCAGGAAATATATATCAGAGCTTTCTCATGCAACCAACTCATGCACCGTTCCCACTCAGACATGAACACGCCTCGTAAAGTGAATATGATTGTCAAAAGAAACGCATGCTTCATAATGGTTGAGAGATTGTTCAATCTTTGGAAATGGTAAGGCCATGTAGTTCAAAAGTGATATTGAGTAAATTAAAACTAGCAAGAGATGGACAACATATACATGTATAAAGAAAAGCCACTTAAAGAGATTAGCCAGATGGTAAGTACATTAATCAGAGGACCTTTGTTTTTAATACTAAATATTCAAGAACTTACTGAAAACACACTTATGAAAACACTGTATTAAGTCAATGGCAACTGTCTAGAGTGAACACTGCATAGTATTCATATATAAAGGGTTTTTTGTTTTGTTTTTTTACAAATCAGGATTTTGCTGATGCTTTGTGCACATTGCAAGGAAAAGCTACAGCTCATCTTCCGATGGCAAAATAAGGTAGTGTATTATCTTAACACAGACAGCCTGATTTGGGAAATACCTGCCATCCTACTCTGCATCGGTAGCTTTGCCGGTTCAGCTGATCTCAGTGACCTGTCTCATTACCTGACTTGTGGCTGGAGTCAGGTGGGCAGACTTGCAAATGACTTCAATATTACCAACAGATAGATGTGCCTTTATTTACTTGGCCCGCAAAATTACAGGCCCAGAAGGGGAGGTGGCTTTCTAAAAACCGAGCCCGTGGCTATTTAATACCGGAGACTGAATAATGCCCCATCCAGCAGTCTGATGCACTTAAACTTTCAGTGCTTCAGAGTGGCAGAAGGTTGAAGCTAGGAGGATTAAATTGCATGACTGGGGCCTGTACATTTGGTAAGGATATGTCCTCGCCAAATAGACAGGTTGTGCTGTATTGTTCTGACTTGCTCACCTTTGGATCTATTTTCCACATTTGGACTGATTTAAATAGTATCTTTCCACTCTCCAGTTATAAAAATCTCAAGTGCCAGTAGCTCATGGCATTAAGATCATGTATCCTGGAATAATATATATTCAAAGAACACTTCCTCTATTATAACATTAACTGTAGAAAACAAGTAAAGATACATAAGAAGCTACCTAATAAATGCCAGGTGATGCCATTAGCTTTAATCTGAAAGTTGGGCAGACAACCCTGGAGGTTTCATTGGGTTATCTTGCCTACAGACATGTTGGTGCATAAATGCCCAGTTCCTACAAGTTCCTAGATCCACTGGTCAGCCTGCCTGCCTGCTTACTCTAGAAGTTATGTTTTATTAGCATAAATGCTGGCCCATATCTACTTGGATAAATGCTAGTAATTCAAGTGGCAGTCTTTTCTATAAAATCTTCAGTATAGCAGACTGGGTAGAAGGGTGACATGCTAAACATGCTCTGACTGTGGCTTGGTGTTTGGCACGGTTTCCACATTTAGCTACTCCAGGATCTTTTTCCTAACAAGATTTTTTTTGCTTTCTGGACAACGTCACAACTTCCGTCTGGTTGCCTGGTAGAGCCACAGCATTTGACTAGCCACACTTTATGTTAAAGATCCATTTATAAATAGCTTGAAAAGGACTCATGAATGATTAAAAGATGTTAAAGACTGGAGTACTATGGGTTACAGATGGTTACAGGCATGTAAGTAGTAAGTGTTATGGAGAGCTTTAGGCTATGAGAGTACCTAGCTCTTCTCTGGAATGTTTTTCATCAGCAAATCTTGAAGCCCTTTATAAAGGAGGTCCGATACCATTATCCCCATTTTACAGGTGGAGAAATTGAGGCGTTTAAGGGTTGAACTGACTGGTCTGCAGAGAACCAGTAGGCCTGTAGTAGAGCTGGCAATCAAGTTTGCATCTCTTGAGTTCCAGTTCACTGCTCTACCCACTGCATCACACTACCTCCTTAAGATGATTAGCCCCGGTATACAAACGGGGAAGGAGGCAGAGACACAAAGTGAGGAGCGACCTGTAATAAGCTGTGGCGAGCAATGGACAATTTATTAAAACCTCGATGAGCCATTTATGAAAAGACAGACTACTTACAAATGTAGCCTTACTACAAAGTGTGACCATTTGCATATTAATACTAAAAACCCAATCAAATTTGACTTTGACAAGAACCACGGGGACTGACCTCCTTGTGCTAGAATATAACGGCACATAAAATGTTGCAGAAGATCCTTTTTTGTGTGTGTACGTGTCCCAGAAAAGATTTGCATAATTTTTCAAGCCAACCAACTGAAAAGGACATCAGTGGTCACTGAATTAACCTTGCATTCTGCTCGTGCGGAGCTCAGCTGCCGAGTGCAATTGCATGTATGTGTTTAGGTGTCGGGTGGCTGCAAAGTATTTCAAAACGCCCCGAGTCGCGAAGCTAGCGCGTAGAAATAACGGCATGTTCCCCCCCCCCCCCATGTGACTGCGTGCACTCCGCCAGCTTGGGAACAGATCTAATTTATGCACCCAATGTTTCGGAAAATAGCGAGTTGGGACTGGTGTTTCACTTTGCTTCGTTTTCTCCGCACGTATCTGCCCATACCTACCAGCTGCACTGGTTATAGGGCAAGGACCCCCGGCTTATACATTCTGCAGCTAGGCAGAGCTTGTACAAAACAGGCAGATCACATGGCCTGCCGAAGCAAACGGTATGGATTTTTTTTTCCTTCAATGTTTTCAGTATTTAAGGGAATCGATCTTACTGTTTGTGCGATTTCTATACCCAACTAGTAGCAGCATAAGGTACACAGTCTCTAGCAATGAAAATAGAAAAATGACATGCGTGTATGCTGCCATCTGGTCAGGTTATGGAGGACCACATTTTTCAGCCCTGATTGCAAGCACGAGCATAGAGAAACCCTTTGAAAAGCCTCTGTGCTACAGAATACTTTGTTGGCTGTCATGAGGTAATGAGCTTTCATTCTCACAATTCAGCATAGAGATCGGCAGGATTGCAGTCAGCTCAACTGCGTCGATGTGTATTCTGGTTGACTTTGGCAGGCCAAGTGGGAAGCCTTCCTTCAAAGCAGAGTCAAGCTGCATAAAATTCTCCAAGGGCAAAGGTACACGATGGTTGCAGCCGTGTCATTTCCCTTATAGCTACCCGGCAGTAATGGGTGATAGTAAAACAGAAGAGGGTGATGTCGGTGTCCTTTGCATCGCTGTAGTATTTGAAAGCTATTTCTTTAACTTTTTCTTAGGAGTAAGCTTGTAAACAGTATCGTGCTCTCCTCTGGTAAATCTGAATTTGTGGTTACTGAGCAATGCAAACCTGCAAAATGGGACAAAGAGCCTAAAGAATTCACTAGATGGTTTGAATGCATGGGGGGAGAGAGGGGATACACAAAGCTGAGGGAAGAGCAAGCAAAATACATGGGTTTGACCTGTACTTATCACAGGCTTACTGGGGATCAGGGGAAGAATGGCATGCCGCCTGCCGTGAGATTGAAGACAAATTCCAGGATTGGGGTTCCCAATTGCACTTTACGTACTAGGTACTGATGTGCACATGCGTTTGCTGCCTTCAGCTGGGTCACATTGCATAGAGGTGACATTTTGCACTGTGTGTGTGTGTGTATGTTTGCAGGTGTGTGTGCACATGTGTGTGGTTGTGCGTATGAAGAATAAAGTATCGGTAATTAAAACCATATTCAAGTGCGTGCTTTCTCATGGGGGAATGTAACATGCCTGGGAGAATTATCCATTCTTTTTCAAAGCAATGCTTTTGAGTGCCCCAGGTCACTCTGTAAGATAACTACAATTAAGCAAAGAAACACTTACAACTGTACGATATACGGTGTTCACTGACCAGAGCTGCTTGAAGCACAACACCATGGGATGATGGAGAAAGGACCTTTTCAGAACAACCCAAGATACATTGCAAATGACCCCCTTAACATGGCAGAAACTCTCTATAGTAATTGTGAAAGCGCCTCTTCCATTTCTCCAAGAAAGTGACAGTGTTTTGAAATCCAAACTTTTGCTATAAGAAAACATGTACTTAAAATAAAACTATAATTGAATTTAAATGAGCTAAAACCAAGATGATTTACTGATTCGAATATATTTTAGTCTCTGGCTTAGAACAAACACATAAAGAATGAATCATTTATCAACTGCATGGTTAACACATCGTTTGACGTTACTGTACCAAACGTGTAACAGGTGGCTATTACTTAAGCTGCTATGCATTATTAAAGTGAGGATCACTCTCACATGCAGTCCTACCTGCTGAATGACTACGGGGGCTGTAAAGTGGCATTTTCCTACTCAGGAGAGCTACTTCTTGTCTGTTTTCTGAGCCACATGTGCTCATTTTACAACTGAAATGTTAGGGTTTTTTTAATCTCATTAGCCTGCAGAGCCAAGAGAGCAAACGGACGGTGAGCCGGGTTCTGAATTAACCTTGCATTTTTATGTATGATCAATATAGTGGATAATTGCTAAATTTTACAAAGTAACTCTTCAGAGTAGCACACTTAACCATTGGCTGCACTAGACATTTTCCAGCCTGCGTAAGGCTAGTCTTGCTCCATTTCTTTATTTTATTTGTATTAATGTGTTTCCTGTATAGTATCCAACTGAGCCTTTTTGGAATGAGCACTGGGAGCAGTAATACCACTATAAATTATGCATGGCTTTAACTAACTTTATATTTCACAAGCACTAGGCTGAGCTGGGGCTTTGTGTCTCAGTTCACCCATTCCAGAGTTTTAAACCATCACTTCTACGAGATTACGGTCACTCTTTTCTCCTGCTTTCTGTACTCGGTTTTGCTCGGAAGTACTTTTCTCTAGCACACTGTGTTTCCCTTCAGGGACGGTGCCTTCAGGATCTTTCCAGCATGGTTTCAGAGCGTCTCCTCCTAAAAGCCCTTAGCTCTAAAGCAGCATCTTATGCTGGAGCCCTTCACAGCTTGCGTGAAAAAAAAAAAAAAGATCAATCCAGGGATCAGCTGCGGTGCTGAAGCAGCGAAGCATATCTCTGCACTATCGCTTCACAGGGTGGGTGGAAAAAAAAGACAACAGCGGCCCACCCGAGGTACAGAGCCGGACTGAACACAGTAAAGCAAGGTTTTCGTTCTGAAAAGAAGCTATTTGCCTTTAAGAGCAACATTGGAAAAGGCCTTTTAGAGCAGGGTCGTAAGATCTAAAAAGCCAAGCAAAATGAGAGGATTTCACATTTTTCGTATTTCCATTTTTCAAAGCAAAACGTTCCACTTCAATCAGCATTGCATTAGAAAAGCACATATTGTTTCTTTCGTAAACCTTGAAAACCCTTAAGGAATTAGGCCTTGCATTTTTAGCACGGCGCTAAAAAACAGAAGGCATTTTCCGAATCTCCAATCTAGTATTTACTAATTCATCTCTGTACGAATCTCCATCCATTTGCACCCAAATTCCGATTGTATCAAAGGAGGTTTCCTTACTTTACTGGCTCCCATGATTCCCGCTCAAAGCCCCTGTGAATTGATTGTGCAATTGAGGACTCCATCAGATCGACATATCTAACAACAAGTGGAGCAAACAGGTCTTGAAGGTGTTTGTGGAATTTTCCATTGCACAAATTATCTAGAATAGATAAATAAAAGTATAGTAAGAAACTACGGTTGGGTAACGGACCACGAAGAGTGGCATTTTATTACACAATAAATACGCTGGCTAACAGGAAGGAAGTAACTGGAGTTTCCCCTAGGAATACTTGACCATCAACCTCCAGGATAAAGACAGCAGAAATCGTTTCTTATTTGGAGCAAACAAACAGCGAACCTTCTCCGTTAGCGCCTGATTTATAGACAGCAAATAGGTGACTGGCTCCCGTTAATAAAATGACTATAAACAGAACAGCGTGGCACGCATCACTCCCTGGGCAGACTGGGGGACTACTTTTACACTCCAAATCGTTTTTCTCGGAGGAGGGTCCCAGGACTCATTATGCATGTCTTCAGAAACGAAAAGGGTTTTTAAGGAGGGGTTTCCAACAGGAAAGTCTTTTGTAAGACGGGGGCCTAATGGATCAACGTGGGAAGGATGAGACGGGCAGACTACGGCGTGGGATTGTCACAGACGCAGCAGGGCCAAACGCTGCTGCTATTGAAGTGAATGGGAATTTCATTGTCGCGCCTTCTAACCCTGGCAATATCCTCCCGCGTTTCCCCTTTGTACAAGGCAATGTCAAATCATCCGTTAGCGATTCCTTTCCTTTCCATCCACCTGTCTGGGGGCAGGGACTGCAGCTGACTTCGTATTGCCACACGCACATGATGCACATATATAGCACAGTAGAAATGCTTAATGAAAATAACAGAAAGTGCCCAACTCTGTGAACAATGTGCTCCTCACCACAGGACCTTATAGAAGTCCCACTCCTGGTCTTCTACCTGGGCATTTGATTTTAGTAAAGAGGATTGGTCTCTGGTCATGTTGAAAAGCACCACTTCCCCGCCCCACCTCTAAAGCAATTGCAATATTAAGTTAATAAAAGGCTATTGGTTTTGAAGTCCCACCCATATCAGTTTTCTGTACAGCATGGAAAGGCTAGAAACATTATCAATAACCCATCAGATTTTACCCTATTGAAAGAAATGGTCAAAATACAAATACATACAGTCACTACGGAGGAAATCATTTAGAAGCTGAAATAGTGGAAAGCTGTCCCACGTGTCTGGGGGTTGCACCTCTAAGGCAGCATCCATATCCACTGCAAACAGTGACAGGAAGGTTTCCGCGTGTTCAACCATTAAGTCTGACCACCAAGCAAAGGCCTTTAAATTTGGTAGAAAAAGAAATAACAAAGAAAAGCATTAGTTCTTTTAAACCACAGCAAACGATATGAGGCCAGATAGCTTAGAAGCAAATGTGCATCCCCACGGAAAACTAGCTTTATTGTAAAGAGAACAGTCCTTTAAAATGTGAGCTACTGCATATACAGTGCAAATCACATAAATGATGCACGTACTCTTTATATTCAGGAA